AAACGGAAAGCAAAGGAGGACATTACCATTGAAATCAGGTGTCATCCTTGCACAAGGGGCCATGGGCCATGCTAATCTTCTCTGTCAGTCTGTGTCAGACTCTCCATTTTAACAGACGTCCCAGAGGACATCATCATCAACCAGGCCAGGTAATTCAGGGCCTCGCCACACCACTCCGGAATCCATGGCCACATCTGAGTGAGGTGGAATCAGGTTCCAAGTTTAATTATGTCTCTCCCATGTACCCAGTATACCACCCTCTCTTGTCTCAGACTTGTAGTCCGGTACTACCACCTAGGATTGACTCCCAGATCATGTAGGCAAGCAAACCTCCCACTCCCCAACCCCCACCCTTGAGAAGTTCATCTGAGTATCGATCGCATCAGCAGTCCGCATCTACAATCCTGTATAATACAACTATAGTCCAGCAGCGTCTTCACTGTGTGCTTACACAGACTACCATCCCTTGTACAACTATAAGCCAGTAACGGTTGATGGCATCCGAAACTGCTAGAGTGTGTGAGTACTGCTGAGCTGTGCCCGCTGTGTCTGTCCTTGTACAGTTGACGGAGTTCCCTATGTCAACCCAGATTCAGGTTCTCCCTTTCCGGTGCCACTGGTCCTGGTGATCATCTCCTTGGATGCTCTCTGTCCTTCAGAGTCTGGTGACTCTGCTAGTCGTTTAAAGCATCATCTGTATGCTTCCACAGTCCGGTATACAACTCTAGTCCAGCACTGCCTAAATCGCAGGCATCTGCACACGGAGTCTTCTATGCAGCTTCAGTCTAGCACTGTCTTAATCGTATGCATCTACAGTCATGTGTACAAGCATGGACCAGGTGATTCCATAGACTATAGTTGGATGCATGACTATAGATGCATAAGATTAAGACAGTGCTAGAGTGGTCAAGGGTGTTGTAGAGGTCGGTTTCTGGACCCACGACAGGTACCTATCTACAGTCAGCAACTAATTTACGGGATGCGGACCCCATCCTAACTTGGAGGATTCCCCCTCAAACAACCCCTACTGCAGGTTCCCCAACGATCTCCTCCACGGGCCAGAATCTGTCTACTAACACCCCTCCGACGGGGATACCCTACTGTAGGTTCCCCACCAATATCCTCCAGCAGAGCTTGTCGCAAGCCAACCCTCCCCCCAAACGGGACCCCATCCCACCTAAGGTCCTTGGCCCTCCCAAGAAAGAGCCTACACTCATGAGCACTCTAACCACAAACCCGTAGCTGTGCCGCGCAACCTCACGCCCTGTGCTGTCTTTCGTTCGGAGTGCTAGATGTGCAGAAAGAGGCCCAGAAAAACAGCAAGATAGGGTGTGCCAAGGATTTCTGAAAATTGAGTGTGGGGACACAGACGGAACTGAAATCCCCTGTGTTGGTCCGATGCAGTAAGTCGATCGTTTTTCGCGCGACGCTAATTGCATGCGCGGAAGCTTGGCGCGAGAGGGGTGAGAAATACAAATTCAATCCAGAAAATATTGCCGGACTTTCCACCTGGCTACGGCCCGTCGTTTAGAACAAAAGGGCTTCGGCTCGCTTCGCGTGTCTCGCTTTCGTATCAAGTCCCGCCCTCGTTCACTGACCAGCTCCGAATCCGACGTGGAGGGTCTTAATCGCGTGGCTCTTTCTCTATGTTCGTCCTCACTCCGCACACTGTAGTGGAAACCCCTGGATTCGTAGCGCTCAAAGCGTTGACATTCGGTGCATAGGGTGCGCGGCCAATGGGGTTCTACTGCCGTCCACGGGATGATGATCAACTCATTGAAGGGCAACAATATCGAGTAAGGTGGAAAGTGTGTATCGATAATGACAACCCCAGCCTCTACGAACCCTGAACAACGGTTTGCCGGAGGGAAGTGGTATCGTCCGCCCATATGTGCGACAAGTTCTCGTACGTCCCACTCCCATACACGTATTCTTTCCTCGTTGTAGGGAAAAGGCCGTGTTGAGACGGGAGATACGGGAGGCTGGCGCCCGATCGACGGGTGCTTGTCAGTCCACATATCAATCAATTGCAAAACTCCCGAGACGTCATCAAGAAAAGAAAACACTCGCGCAACCCCCAATCAATCTTTTTCGACCCGAGAGAGAGAGAGAAAAAGAAAACATTCATCAGCTTGATCATGCATGTAACTGAGGGACTGACCCGTGACTCATAAGCCAACGTGGCGTTGATCCAAGGCGCCTTGACAGACCTTGTTTCTCGAGGCCTCCCTATGGCTCGGATGCTGATGTCGTGCAGCATAAGGCAGATGGCATGCGCAGGGCTGTCAGTACTACAGATCTAAACACTCTTGCATTCTCGAGCTAAATCTTGCTGAGGGTTGCGTCTAATCAATACAAAAAGACGCGCATCTTCATAGATACATTCACTGTGGAAGGTGCGAAAAACGACAGAGGTATACAAGTCAGAAATCAACCGGGGGAATTGTACACACGCATCCACCGTTCACAAGACAAGAGGATCAATTCCTCGACATCTAGGGATTACCCAGGAAACTCATGGAAGAGTTCCGGAAGAAGTTCTTTCACACAGGAAAGCACACATAGTCATTTGCATCCGAGAGAGAGAGACAGAGAGAGAGAGAGAGAGAGAGAGAGAGAGAGAGAGAGAGAGAGAGAGAGAGAGAGAGAGAGA